GTTAATTATTATTTGACCGAATTAAATTGGTTTCGGCAGCGAGCGGGTTAATCTTCCAGTCGATGGAAACCGGGAGCGTTGAACAGAAGTACCTAGGAAAGAAAATCGTTTCGAATCGATGCACGAATTATTTGAAGTGCATCGAAGGTATCTTGAGGTAAATCGAGCTTCGATGGTTCCTCGAAAGGAAACGAAGAGAACGAAATCGTTCCTGGCGCGGGTCACGTACGTACGAGAGTTCAGCTGTTAAACTAGAACGATCGCTTTTAACGAATAATTTTCCGTTCTGACGAAACACGCGTGAAATCAGGAATATCCGTCGATCTTTGATCCGTGGGAAATGTTTGAAATAGAACGACACCGTCGAGTCTCGTTACGGCGGATAAAAGAATTTTATAGCGGCAGCTTGCTGCTTTTATTTTCGGGGAAAAAATCGAATATCGAAACCGTCGATTTCTACCGCGGCGCACTTTTAACGAAGCATCCGGGAAAATTGGAGAAGATAGTAGCGGTTTTCTATAGGAAGACTGCAATAATCGTACGTCGAGCAATTTCACGTCCCGTGCTTTCCATAATCCTTCTCTACTGCTATTGCGATCGTTATCATTGCCTCGTAGGCCACATTCTTTTCGGATACGGTTACGAGCCACGTCGAATACACTCGAAGCTATCGAAGACACTGCATGCCAAAGACGGTATAACGAGCTTTCGTATCCCCTATTTTACCCATCTTTCGATTATCTATTTTTCATCGTACGTTAATCGTATAAAATTATAGGATAAATAAAAAGATGAATAGAAAAATGATAGATTATAATAGATCGTGGAAGAGAAGAGCGTTAGACGCGTGTCTTTATCCACTTTCCTCGGTTCTGCGTTCACTTGGCGTACTCGGCGACGGCCTAAATCTCCTTTTCTGCTTTTAAGCCTGAAGCATCATCGTGGACGCTACTTGCACACGCTGTTCTATGCGAACGTTGCCCGCGTGCTTAGATATTTATGCGCCGCCAAGCGGATGTGACGCGACGCGTTAGTAACTTTCAACTCGTTCCCCTATTCTAAGCCCTGCAAACAATGATAATGTCCTACGAATAGCCCTCACGCGTGCACGCTGCATTATCCCTCGACTCTCACCCTTTCTGATCTTCTCCCGAACTTGTTTGATGATTTAAGCTTGGAAACTTGTTGCTCCGAGGGTTGTCGAACCGGCTGGAATTCCGGCGCCCATTAGAATTCGGATTTGTAGAAAGAAACGTGCTCGGGAGGGTGCTCGTTGATGGGAGAACGAGGGAAAGAACCTTCAACGCTGTTAAACGCGAGGCCGCTAAACAGGATAAAAAGATTTCTATCAAGGGACCAAGTGTTTTTTTTTTTTATCGTGCCATGTTTTTTTGGTCGTTACGACAAGTAGACCATTTACTTTCTACTTTAACTTCGAGTTACATCAATTTTCATGTTTACCCATCTTTTTCTGTTATTTCATTCGCGTGTTGTCTGAAAAGAATCAAAGTTTCTGAAATGTGAACTTTTAAAACTCTGACTAAAATCTCGCCGGTATTTTGGTCAAGTTGAAGAAACAGCCGAAAGTTGCTCGGTGCTTCCTACTTTCCTTTCTTTCCTTTTTCATCCTCTCTGGGAAAACATTTGAAAAGAATCACGACAAGTGGAAAAGAATTCTCCTCGACCCGTTAAGGATACTCTTTCGAATTTCGTAGCCGGGCACGATTCAGGTAATTAAATATTTCCACGCGGCAATCAACGCTACGAACAGATCCCGTTGAGCAGTGATAATAATTAGAGGCCGGTGTCCGACGCGGATTATCAGCTTGGCGGAAGAATATTCCCGCTTTTTCTATAAAATGCTTTCGGTTGACGTTAATTTAACAGCCGTAACAGGTAAATAACAATAATTGTGGGTAGATTTTCGTTCGCTGGTTTTTCAACTTTCAACGGGATATTTTCAACAACGAAGCATCGCAATAATAACACGTTGATGAAAATGCTGTTTTGTTTTTCCAATTGAGGATTGAAAGAGCGTGAACCGAATGGTCGCGCTGTTATCTCGGGGTCCGTGTTTCTTTTTTTAAATAAAGCGCAATCCGTGAACGATTGCTTTTTGTTTTCGCACGTGTTCCTAGCGAATACACTTCGTAGCCCGCGATGCACGGATTGGCCAGTCTGGAAATTTCATCGAACCAGATTCATCCATTTTTACGATCTCACGAACAACACGGCGACGCTCATCGCACGATTGTTACGTAAGCTCTTCAACCCTCTCGAAGCATCGCCACCGTCCTCCCTCTCTCCCTGCCCCTCTCGTACCGGTTGTCGAGGGAGAAAAATGCAAACTATTATACCGCGCACAATAGGCTCGACGAGGCTTTCACTCGTTATCGGTAACGAATCGCCTTCGGCTCGTCGACAATCGACGAAATCGCTCGCGTTCCTCTTTCACCTTCGCTCTACCCTTTCGCAACGATACCTTCGAGGACTTCTAGAATGGCTATCGCCACCGAAAGAGGTGAAAAGGTCCACGATCGAGATACAGGACAGCAGAGGCTGTAATTTGAAGTAACAATAGGCTCGTTCTCGTTTTTATCGCCAATGGCTGGCTTATTTTTCTTATGTGACTAGGGACAGTGGTGCTGACTGGGGGGTGAGTTCATTTAAGTCAGTGTTAAAGTAAATGAACACGTATCCAATTTACAAAGGCTTCGTTAGGTTCCTGAGCACGTTACAGTTCGCAAAAATACCCTAACAGTGGTATTAAGTTTAACAAGAAACATAATTACGACATCATTAATACGAAGCTGGTGCACTTCCTGCTAAAATTACAACCCTGAGGTGATTTTCCACGAACTGCACTAATTTTGTCTTAAAGTTGCTCCCAATGGACCGTCAGTGTATGCATATTTAACACAACCACGTAATCCCTCTGTGTAAATACACACTGTTTTATGAGAGTAATTATTATGTCATAAAATTTGTATACGATTCACACTACCGGTATAACGTGGCTCTTCTTTTTTTTTTTTTTGAAGCGAAGCTCCGCTATTAAACAACTGATCGGGATTTTTGTGAGTTTTTAACTCAAAATCTAAATTATCAATTTTGACCTTTCTTTGCAAGCCGATCACAGTGGTCACTGTGAGTGTTTATATAGGATAAAATCAGAGATCGGTGGAATCCTTGAAGAATGGTCACAGAAACCGATATCCATGTTAAGTCTATGAGAGAAATCGAATTACGGGGTTGTTTATAATAAATAAAATTCGGGTTGTTTTCTTTTGTTTTGTCTTGAGAAGAAAAAAGATAAATACAGAAGTCTACTTTCTCTATGCTAACTAAACTAAATTTCTCTTCACTGTTACTTTTTACACGCCACATTATCAACAATTAAACACTACTTTTAATTGCTATATTGTGTCCTAATTCTGTTAAAGTTACTTTTACTACAAATCAATCGCTTCGCTCCCTGTATCAGGTGATAGTTTCGAAAGAGATGTCGTACAACTAACACTAAATGTCCCCTATTTAAATGCAAAATATCTCGAGGGAATTTTTATCTCGTTGTAATTGCTGGAACGTTTGCTATGCGATCAGCTATCGAACGAAAGAAAAACTTAACCAGATCTCGATCTTTTCCTCGTCCTATGGGAAGAATGAAGTTTCCTAACGACAAGGGCCATTGTTGCCTTTCGATCCGACAGGTTATTTGGCCAGACATCGATACGACCGTTCACCGACGATACACACGAACCACCTAGCAACCGGACGTATCGTGGAACGTGTACAAACGGAAGTAGCCAAAAGAGGAGACACACGGGCATGTTCCGCGAACAAGGCGGGTAGGGGTGGATCCGGAAATTCGAATCCACCCTGCAGTAACCCGAGAAAGCCCTGGACCAATAGTCACCAGCTATCCTCCAGCTAAATTCTATCTTGCTTCTATTTCTCTCTTTTAGTTTTCCCGTTTCAATTCCTTTTCTTTTTTTCTTTTTCGTCCGCTTAATTCTCCCTCCTCCATTAACGTCTTTTCTTTCCCGCGCTCGTGAAACTTTCTCATTATCTCGGAGAAAATGCGCGACTCTCGAGTTACGTTCAATCGAGTCGTACCGGCCTTCTTTCTCTATCGCGATGAAGGATAAGAAAGCGATTGCCGAAGGAGTACCTTAGTCGGTATCCTAGTTTTATAAATTCGATACAGTATAAAATTTCACTGGGAAAGTTTGACAATGTCGAAAGAAATTTCGTGCATTTACTGGTTATGCCCGGCAAGGATTCGATATCGCGAGTAAGCGTTGACGAATGTTACGAAGCGGAAGGGGGTTGTACGTGGGGTAGGGAAAGTTTGTTGCCAGTTGGACGGGGTGGGCGTCGAAAAAGCCCGGTTCTCGAATCGTTCCACGGTCGATCGCGAGTCGGACACGAGGGACATTCCTTTCAGGTTTAATTCCGGTGTAATTAGAGGCACGCTCCGCTATAGGACGTCCGTTCATGCTCGTCGTTACGACGACATTGTTCGTTCTGGCTATAAATTCGTGCCTTGCGGTTCTACAGCTTCAACGGCACTCCAGTTAACGATTACACTGGACTTTTCAGTTATTCATTAAAATTTCAACAATTTTACGGACGTTCGCCAAAAATTCAAGAACCCTAGCTACACGGGGGGTGGAACAGTTTCTCTAAATTATACACAGAGAATTTTACTCGTTTGCTGGTAACAATGTTCAAACATTACGCGACAATTATCAATGTTTCTTAGTTGTTTCATCACTCCGAATTATATAAAAGTGTTATCTAATTAACGAAGGCAAAAAACGAAGTTCATTGTGATATCTCGAACTCGTCTCCATTTAACAAAAGGCTTTTAGAGTGATTCAAAAGATGATTGTTTCGATGAATTAAAATGGAACACCCTGTACAAACGCGCAATCAATCCGCGGCACTCAAACGATCAATTCCACTCTTGAGGTTCAGTTGAACTCGGTTTCACTTACCCGTCTATCAGTGGCACATCTCTGAGTATCCTGCGAGCTGCCGCGAGTCGATCTCCAGCATGGGCAGCGAGCAGAATCCTCGTCAGTAGCTGACCAAGGACCATCACGCCCACCACCATCCTCATCCTCCTCCTCGCTGGACCCGCAGCTTCTCCTTACTAATGTCCTCATGCCATCACCGTCGTCCGACCGGTTCACCCGCAGGACGTATCCCTTCCAGCAACGAAATTCTACGATTTCCTCTTGTCCCTCCGCTTGACTATTCTCTTCCTTCTCTCTTTATCGTTCACTTTCTATCTTCCTCCGTCTCACTCGTCACCCTTTCCCCTCATTCTCGCGCACCTCTTCACCGTGAAATATCGTTCAGCGAATCGGCGAGATTTTCAATCGTCCATCAGACCCTACCGAGAGTCTATTATCGCTATGCTAATCAGTTTTCAATAGAATTATCATTTGCGAATCAATTCAGAGATCACATGTCCCTATCTGATCTCTTTTTACCCCTGGAACATACGTTTTCACGCATTTTCAACGAGATCACCAGTTCGTCCCTCGAAACGTTTCCTGTCATCCTCGTCGACCTTATCCTTCCGCTTTCCATTAAGGAACTTTGCTCGTTCGTTTATTTCACTTTATTTTCCGTCAGCGTCGCCCACATACCTGTGCCTTCTCAGTTCTTTTATCTTTCAACAAACGTTGCACTTGTCCCTGCCTTATCTTCGCGTTTCTACGTTGACTGTTTATAATTTCCCCGTCGGGACACAACCGAGATAGCGATGCACCTTTTTTCTTTTTTTCACGGAAAGTTTCAGCTCGCTTCAAGCGGTTCCGCCGACGTTCGCGACCCGCGTTCGTCGAATTCTTTTGTGTTTTCGAGTGACACCCTCATTCCAGCGAGTTACACTGATAAAAGAATTCAGCAGAAGGTATTCGGATGTGTTTCCAAGGGTTTATTCTGTAAATTCCTGGTAGTTATTCAGGAATGAGCAGCTAACTGAACTGTTGGTCCTCATCGATCCGATGTTTCGAGGAAGTGTCGCGAGGGCCGTCGATGTTTCTCGAAGGAGGTGCTTACAAACAGCCCAGTCGACGTTCGCCTCGCTCTTTTCGCAGTTGCTACAATTTGCACAACAGCTGGCTACGCGATTAAACTGGCCTTTTGATCAGGGCTTCTTTGACGAGTAGCTCGAAGGAAATCGAACCATTGCCGTGGAAACACTTGGCCAACTGTTTGCTAATTACGTCGAATCTCTCTCTTCGTCCAAGTAATCCGACTCGAGAAGCCACCGGCTCGTTATCTTTCCTTTCCTCGATTTTGTTTCGAAACGTTTGCTGCTCGGGCGTCGTTGAACGTAACGACTCCGCGAAAGGGTTGCAAACGCAAGATTAATTAGTTTGGAGAAGCGTGTCGAGCGTGAAAAGCTCGTTTTGCTCCGATCCTTTTTCCGATTGAACGAACCACGCTGCTCTCGTGCGGTTTTTCTCGTTTCTCAGACTCCTCTGGTCATCTCCTTCCGATACCTCATGATCCTGAACGCGGTATCGTGACCCACTGTTACGAAACGCTCGTAAATCTGTCGAAATTAATTCGGCACTCGATTAAGTCGCGCGATTAATTACGCAACCCGTTGCTCCGCTCCACCTACCACTGGCTCACCATGAATTTGATGTTCGATTGAGTTCCTCGAAATGTCCAGTAATTCGTGGTGGATGAATTCAATGTTCGACGAGGTTTGACACGGGTTTACTGTAATTCAGGAAGGAAGAAATGCTTGAGAATTTCAAGGTGTTTAAGTTGATGAGTTTAGAGTCCCTTCGTCCACATTATACGAGTAATCTAAATTATAGCGCGTCTGACGATTCATGGACATTTCTACTGTGGCGGTCGACGCGCAACTTTCATTTCTAACTCAATCAAAATGATAATGCGATAATATAGATTACTTGTACCAATTTGAATTACCATCAAGGTATAAAGTGGTACACTTTATTTCATCCGCGCTAAGTAAGATTTTAAGTTAGAAAGCACCGAGGAAGATCGAGGAAATCTAATTTACTTTGGAAGAGAAATTACACGAAGGTAATCCGTGTTCTTTCGTTTACCGTGCGTGAATCTGATTAACAATTGAACAGGTAAGAGGAATGCGATCACAACGAGGCCGTTAACGTCGACTGCGACTAATGAGTTGGCCTGTTCATAATTATCGGCAGACACGGCCACACGCTCGCGCCACCGGTTATCAGCCTGATATGCGGATATTTATCTCTTTGTCGATGATTAATTAGCGCTAACGACGTTAACGATCACGCCCTTTGATCCTCCTTCACGCGGATGACCAAAAATGTCCGGATAGTTGCTGGTCAAATTCGATGATCTTTGATTTTATTTATGAATTTCAATTTTTAATACGAGAAACTCGAATGCAATAAGATCGTTGTTTCTTTTAAATAAAGTAGTAAATTCTAAGAGAACAAAGCGTGCGAAGAGTCCTTTGTTCTCAACTTTTTTACTTCTCCGTTTTAATTACTTTCACGTAGATGGAATAAAGTCTATATATATCGTTCCTCTTTAGCTTCCCGAGTAAAGCGATGAAAAGATCGTTTACAATTCACTGAGTAAGGTGTTAAATTAAAAAAAATGAAATACTATAACTGTTCCAATTATTTCGAACCGACCGAAACATATTTCTCGTTCGTGTTAATTAATCATCCAATTAGACCACCGGGGGAAGAATATCGCGTCCCTTAAAAATTTCCCTTTGTAACTTGGCGCAGCTGCGTACCTCGTAAAGTAGCACGACGGAAAAATCTCGGTCAACGCGTGCGGGCAAAGTTTCCCGTAACTTTCAAAGTTTTATCTTAGAAAATCAAGCGGAAAGAAAAATCGGCGCTCTGTAAAGAGTCAGTGAAGCGGATGAAAGTTGCACTGTGGTAAAGCTCGGTGCGTTGGAGATTGCGTGGAACGGATACGATTATCGAGAGGGTGTTTCCGCGAGTTTGAAATAACGCGGTCCGATGGCCGGTTGTTCGCGGCCCGGAGTTGAAGACCCGACTGACGGAAACGTACGCAGAAACTCGGTATAGCCGAGGGCGCAGGCGCTCAGTTCCCTTCTGCGATCTTCCTCTCCTCCATCGGGATCTGCTAGTCGCCTCTGTCACTCGATCGTTCGCTTATCTCTGCCTTCTCTTCCGGAACCGCTATTCCCTTCGACACTTCGTATTCCGATCTCGCCTTCCTCCTCGTCCGCCTACCTTTTTTTCAACCACCCCCCTGATCGTCAGCTCGAAGATGAAAACAGACGCTACAAAGTCGCGGTTACACGGATTTAGATATTTCCCTCTATGATTCCATCAACAACGAACCACCGAATCGCTGTTTTATGGCTAGTAAAAAAAAGATCCTGTCGCTCTGCTGCTTTTTTTTTTTTTGGTTTTATGGCATCTAACCCTACACCCTTGGGAGATCGTTTCTCCTCGGCTTGCTGATCTTCTAGTTCCGTTTTTCATCTTAGCTTCTTTCGTCCCGTTTTTGTGGGTAGCGATGGGTTTTTTATAATTATATTTCAACTCTTAACGCGGTGGTAACTTCTGACCGTTCGTACAATGATTTTCATTAAACTTTAAGCTTCAAATTGATATATCATGAGCGCCATTTCGCCATAATTGTGTGTCCTGAAATTTCGCTCCACTTTCCACGTTTCAAAATCGACCATTTTATATGCAGAAACCTAATAACTCAATCGTTGTTTAAAACGTGTCTCAATGAATTGATGGGCAATCATTGTGACGAGAGAAACGAGAACAAAAATTCGTATCGCAAGCGTTTTGGGGGGGGATCGACGGCTACTGATTGCAGCAATTACCGGTACACAGTGGAATAATTATCGCGTCGTATTAACTGGAGTACGGGTGCTCGTGAAAATAGCAACGAAACGAAAATATCGGGAACATCTGCCCGTCGCGACTTTTCGCAGTTGCTCGAACCGGAAACGAACGATTTTTCAGACTTCTACGAATAGTTTTCTGTTTTTCTTTTTTTTCTCGCCTTTGGTTCTTGGTCAATTTGGCGCGGTCGAGCGGACGCAATTTGCGCGGCACACCTCGAGAAGACTGGCTCCGATCCAATAGAACGGCGCGACCGACGACACTCGATTATTGTTGAGAAATATAAAAGCATCGTGGAGAGTATAAAAGGTGGCGGGCTGAGGTAGCGTGGTACCGGATGTCACGTGGTCTTCGATCGCGAAATCGGTCGTCGTTGCCACTCGTGTGGAAAGAACAGACAGCGTGAGGTTATCGAACCCTTCTCGAAATATCGGTGAAATACGTTATTTATAATTGTAACTTCAGTAACAATCAACTTGCAAATCATTATGTACGACAAACGTCAGAGTGAAAGGATTAAAGTACGCACGACACACATTTCTATCTTGGATTCCGTGATCGTGCCACCCCGTAACGGAAGCAGATCTCTTTTGTGCTGACGTATCGAGTGTGGATTCGCTTGATCAAACGATTGGAACACGCTTACAAAATTCGTTCCTACCCGGTCACAGATACTGCACGGTGTATCGATTTGAATGTCGCTTTGAAGACGCGGATCCAGGACACGAAAGTGGGGGGAAAAAGTCTGCGCGCAAATGTTGATTTTGCCTTTCGAAATTTCTGTATTTGCACTAGTGATGGGCATATTTCTGTATTGGATTGATATTTGGTATCGATAAGTATCGATGGCCAAAGTATCGATATACATCAATTGGGAATAAAATAGTGATATTATTGATATCAATACGTATAATTAAATTAGAAGTGAAGTTCAGTAAAAAATAGACTATTTATTCAAATATTTCTTTTATAATATTATTATATTTAATATTTTTATTTTTTTGGACGTGCATCCATTACGAGGATTATTTAGAATCTATATACAGATCTTCTGTTAACAGCTTACCTATATCTAATTTACGTTTACATAACTATTTATTAACTTATGCATTACTATACATTGAGATCAATATTGCATACGTTCTACATATAAATAAACATATAAGTGAAACTTATTGCTACAAAATATTTTTCAATCTAATTTTCTCCTTACTGTATATACGTTGTATCAAAATTTCGATGTTCATATATTAAGTATCGATACTGCAATATATCGTCATGTTAAATATCGATACTGTATCGCCCATCACTAATTTGTACTAACAGTACAGGCTGTTTTTTAATGGACAGGACAGTCTTGATTCGATTCGCTGGAAACAGAACTATATTTTAAACGTGTGATTAGATTCTTTGGTGTTCGACGTTTCAATATTCATTGAACTCTGCGCTAGACGACATTCGATTATCGAGAGAAATAGAGTGGGAAATGTGAATAAAGGCAGTCGCGTGTTCGCGAATTCGCATGGCGTTTTAGTCGCACGCTTTTGCCCGGCGTAGCATGATGCAAACGGAAAGCGGCTATCTCGTAATTAGAATTTAGCAAACCAGCAAACGTATCGACGCGTGTATGTCAAACCGATTTTTCGACCAAACGGCTCGATTATGAGTTTGCTCGACTCGACCGTAAACAGTGATTTCACTTGGAAATTCGCTCGATACGCGGATCGTGTTGTTTAACTTGTGATAATTCGTGTATTTTGAAGGCTCATAGCTGGATGGTTTTAACGAAAATATTGCTTTTAATTCGATGGACGTAACATATTCTGTGTAATTCAGGTTATCAAAATTAGGATTTTGTTATATTCCTCTAACCTATTGAATCTTTGGTATCTATAGGGAAGCATATCGCGAGGATCTTTGGTGTCTAATAATTTCCGGAACGGTGGATAATTTTTCTCTGGGAAAAAACGAACTGGCTGGGGGGTGGGAGATAATTTTCAATTTATGCACGACAGATTAGAGAGAAGGTTGTCACGCGAAGCAACGTTTCCTCAAAACTGTAAACCGCCGTCGTCTAGCCGGTAATTTCCTCCGGTGAAATTGCATGCCTAAAGCGGGCAATCCGGATGGCTAAGTTTTTTATCGCGTTAACGCGGCTGATGCTGTCGTTATTACACTTTCCTCTGGACACGTCAACCTCCAGTCTAGGATCGCGTTTACCTCCGTTCTCTGGAAACATCTAAATCTTCGGTCGTGACTCTACAATTCGACGAAGGGCATTGCTATCACGCGATTGATCCTCCTTTACGAGGAATAAATTACCTATCAGTTTTTATCGTTCATTCGGATGATTCTGTTGGAAGTAATTTCCATCATGATTACAAACTGTTCGTTGATCGTCGAATTTTTGGAAGACAATCACAGCGTTCGAAGGGAAAGCAATGGCCCGTGAAAATACAGGCTGGAAAAAGCGTAACAGATTGAACGACGAGGGAACGTTTATGGAAATTGGTCAGTTCGAAGAGGGATTGACCGGTTGCACCGTTTAAAGCTGCGTCCACGCCCAAAGTAGCGATCTCAGCGTAATAACGATATCAGGCTACGTTACGCGATACCTACCATTAGCCACGCTAGTCCAATATCGATTTTATCCAACTATCCTCCTAGCAGCTGAATATTTGGCGAATTCCCTTCGGGCGGTTGCTGCGACCTGGGCATCAATTTTAATTGAACGTTCTGGCCTTGGATAATTTTTCGATCTACTTTATCCTTTCTTCTCACGGAATATTTATAAACGCGATTAAATATTTGGAAGGTGTAGAGGACAGGTGAAATATTGATTTTATTTTATTTTTTTTTGTTTTTTCAATAACTAACTAGATGATTACAAATTTTTCACTGCTAAGCTATTTTCTGTACAGGAGACAATTATTTTGTAACGCAAGCTTCAAGCACCAAGATGACACAGTAATATCGCTAATATACTGTTAAGGGTAAGCGCGAACCCGCCTTTGTAAAACCTTATCGTTGCATCGTTGCCTTTGTAACAGACAAAGAAGCCAATTTAAAGCTTCGTTGACCCAACGAATTCCAAAAAAAGAGAAATCCAACTAAAAGCAAGGCAAAAGCGTGATAAACGCAGTGAATTTTCAATTTTCCTAAAACCAAGCATTAAGATGGCATTCTCTTAAACATTCTCCGTACGCTTTAAATTCCATGGGTCACTGTAACATTTTCGCCATTGTTGAAACTTGGTCCCCTACGAGTGTACTTGGTAGTCTCATTGTCGGAAGGATAAAGGTCGGTTCCCAAGACGCTCCACTCGAAGGGACATTCCGAAGGATCCTGTTTCATAGGTTTGCATAGCTTTCGAGGAAGGAGAGACTGCTGTCGTACATAAGATCACGTGTGCACCAGCTTAGACAGGTACTCGAGGAACAGTCTGCGTGCTTTAAGGTAATTTCTCACAGGTGCGCCGCGTCGAGGCTGGCAGCGACGCAATCTGGCACCTGTAACGACATACGCGCCCGTATATTCGCGTGTGGTCGCGTGTTTCTACACCCACCACGCCTCCTGTCTTCTCGTTTCACCATCCAACTCGGGATAAATGGCTCTATCGCGACGGCATTTGCTCTTCCGATCCTGCCATTATTCCGACATAAAGCTCTTTCTTCGTTTACAATCATTTTTAACGTTCATTCGTGTCCCGAATTCTCGAACCCTTTTATTAAAACGTTGCGACTAAAAGTTATTTATTATGTAAAGCACGTAACAATTAGAGGTCGTAATGATAAAAGTACGAGAACACTCGTGACAGGTAACGTTTTAATGAATGGCTTTACGAGTCTCTAAGGAATCGTAAATGCATAGTTTGTTTCTATCACGAGGGAAGGTATAAAAAAGGAGTTAAAACAAGAAGAAAGATAATTTTATTGCTAGAGTAAAATGTTTCATGTGAAATTTATGGTCGGAAATGAAAAAGGAAGATAACGATAAAAAATCTTAACGAACTATGGTTTCTTCGACTGAATTAACACGGAGTATATTAAATCTCACGGCTATTAAGTGCACCGGAAGCTTCTAGTTCTGCGGTTCTTTTTTTTTTCTCTCTTACAAAGTTCATTATTATAAGTGGCTCGTCGGTGGGTCAACGACGGGCTCGAATGGCGTCTCGGCGGG